TTTTTTTTGGAGGGGCGGGCGCCACTCCAACCCCCCACTAGTTTCGCCCCTGCATTCGAGTATGAAAGTATATAGAATAACCCATTATGCAATCTAACATACGAAAATCCTATACTCCCGTTACGAAACCATCTCGTCGGGTGTTTTAACCGTTAAATCATCTATCTTATACTAATTACATTTCATCCAACGGCTAAAACTCTCGACGGGATGGTTCCATAAACGGACCGTCACATTTCTCTTTTAACAAAAAAATAATTAATATTATTCTCACATATCCGCCACAAACATATAAACATCATTCCAAAACATCGAAACAAATATTTAACGAAACATCAATTAGAATCTAATAACCATAATCATAAGAAAAATCAGAGAGACCAACCATAGCAGTCACAACTTGAGACACAATGAAAATGGCACCTCCAACAATCACCAAGATAAGAACAGCAGAGATTGGGTTCTTCAAAAGCTCCACCAACGGCTGTAAAATAGTGTAGATAGCTCCTGTGCTCACCGTAAGAGCGTACAGAGCATATCTCCTCATATTGTCCCAAAATTCCTCCACCAACGGGCCTCGCGGGCCCAACGCCATAGCCTCGTGGCCGTCGAAGCCCATCAAGAGAAGCGCGAGCCCGAAAGACATCGCCCCGAGTACCACCATTTTCGAGTGCTTGTCTGAGGTCGATACATGAGGCAGCTGCACATCACCGGTCAAGAATTTTTTGGAAATGAAGAGGGATTTGTCTGAACGGTTTGTTTTTGTTGTGTTAGTGTTGGATCGAGCGAGGGAGGGAGATTTAGCTCTGATTGGGATTATTGGTCTGTTTATTGGGGCTAAATAGCTGCTGGGATTTGAGAGCAGGAGTTTGAATGTGTTCATGTTTTGTTGATAATTTGAGATGAGAACATGGATATTTCTTGGGTTTTTGAGAGTGGATAGATGATGAGTGGTGGTAGTGAGAATCTTGTGTGTTTCTTGCCTTATCCGAAGCTAAAACGTGGGTGGATATTATTTATTATTAAGGGGAACTACTATAGTCCGTTGACGGAATGGTTCCATCAGTGTTGGTTACCGTAGATTATCCTTACCAGATAATCTATATGCTCATCCAATGGTTAGAAACACTGACAGTACCATCCCGTAACGGGACCTTAGAATTTTCCATTATTTATTAAGATTATATATATATATATATATATATGTTGCATTATTTATTTATATTTTAATTATTTATACATCTTGAATGAAAAGTGGTAAATCATAAATACGTTTTAAAATGGTTAAACTACGAGGACATGCAAGGTGCCAAGGTGAGAAAATGGTTAAACTACGACCTTTTGCTTTCCGTGAGGAGATTGAGGGTTTAACTCCGAACCTAAACCCATTGTCTCGGGAGGTTTTTATAGTAACATCCGTGGAGAGGGAGATAGGCGTGAAAATGCCTTGCCCATTTCGAACAATGTGCCGACTTGCTCCCTCAGACAATATCGTTTAGATGTTTCGTGTGCTGTAGAGAATTTAAGGATGGCAGAGTTAGTGCCTTTGGTCTAGCAAAGCTACGATGCTACTCGTCACAACCCATTCTCTCGGCCTTGAAAGACCATAAAGGAAAGCAAACAGGGGAGGGCTTCTCGAAAAGTCGAGCATTGCCAAATAGCCCTGAAAATATCGAATTACTTTCTCAGGATAGCGGCATGAGAGGCTGCTGGTTTAGGTGCAATATTATGCACTCATCAGAAGAACGCCTAAAGGTTCAATACTGTGACATGATTGACGTAGATGGACCAGGGAAGCTCGAGGTTTTAGAATTTAATTTAATTTTGTATATCAACTCGAGGTTCGATTAAATGATGCATTATATTTTCAGACACTAATTGTCCAGGTTTTGTGTTGTAGGAATGGGTGCCT